TATTTTTTTTTCTTGATAAAAAAGGAAACAAGCAAATTTATTTTAAAAATTGTCATGGAGTCACAATCTAAGAGAGAAACTTTTTATACATACAGTATACCTATCTCAAACCCCACTGCTGCAAGGTTAGGAAAACCCAAGTTAAAGTGAAATTTAAATAGATTTTAGTATAATCTGTGATAGAAAAGCATGAATGTATCAACTGTATAAAACAATTTTGCCACATAATAACATCACCCAATAGACACAAGACTGTTGTGAGCATGTTGATGGTGCTACAAGTGATAAAATTAATTTTCAAACAGAACAAATCATTTCTCCCTCTCAGCCTATTTTTCCCCTCTCAGTAATACTATACAAAGACAAACTTGCTATGGAACCACAGGACACAGTGGTCTCAGAAAAATGTGGAAGAAAATGAGTTTGCCATGGCCATGCAGAAGAGTCACACTCACTTTATACAGCACTGAGCTTTTCAGGCCGTACTATATCCTTGTTGTGGACCTCTTCCCACATATTTGGAACTTAGGGCTCTACCTGATAATGTGATTACACTTGGGACATAACGTGAGCAACAATGAAAACCACAGAGGCTACTGAACTTTCAGAGGCAGTAGGCTATATAAAATAGAATTAATTGCTTGGACACACAGGGGGTTCTCTTTCTCATCAATAGACAGTCCAAACTTAGTGATGTCATGTGAGAGGAACTGTGCAGTTGCAATCTTCTTTATGGTAGAAAGCACATCAAAGATCAATAATTTTGTACATTTTCTGTTATCTCTATTCTCCCAGATAAGAAATTTCTGCCAGTTCTTGGACAAAGAGCCAAATTTACAGCTAGTGTAAATCAACAAAGTTCTTTACTTTGCATTATACTTATGTCACAGCATTCTTTGTAAAAACTCTGGCTTAAAGGATGTACACACACTTGTGATTATCTATTATATTTGTCATTATTTAATTAAATATTTCTGCAATTTCATATAATCTCTGTTGAAGGCAATCAATGTCTAACAAAATTGATTGAAGCTGTCGATTGTACCTGTATGTACACTGTCTGAATTTGAATCTGTAATTCCTTGCCTCTGGTGACAGTTATGGAAGCAATACAATTTATATAAGGAACAACTATTGCCAGCTCTAATGGCTACAAAATACAATGTGAAAATGCCAGTAGTGTTGCCTACAGCTCAATTTCTACTGCTCCAACAATTGTTGGTGGTGAACCACAAAAGCTATTCTTCCTAGGCTAAGCAACACTGTGACAATCAGAAATATTTGAACTTGATATTTGATTAATGCTGGCAGTACTCTATAAGTGTTTTCCACTCGACATCTAATTATTTAATTATTTCCCATTATTAACGGAATGAAACAATTCAAAATAAACAGCTAGAATGACTGTTCTGCAGGAAGTTCATAATCATCAATTCATACATGTAGAAATCTTCCTAAAATTATATTAAGCTGGCCTGTTGAACTTGAAAGGCATATTTTATCCCAATCAATGCATAAAAGTAAAATTATCCATAACTAAGGCATGTTTCTCTCCTGTACAGTTCAGCTGTAATGATCCCCACACACCGCTCTTGCACATCAATTATGATAATCATAATCACGGTCGTTAAGCTGAATGTTCATTATTATCAGGATGCTGGTGACAGCAGATTCAATCATCGGGTGCAATGGGCAGGCAGTCACAGTCCCACCCAAGTTTCTGCAGGCAGCGTTGTGCCACATTAAATCCATGATGTGTTCCACATCCCACTCCATTCCAAAAGCTGTAGACGGTAAAGGTCAACTTTATGTTCTGTGCAATATGCTTAGGTTCTCTAAATTAATTCTTTGCAGTACTAGATATTTTTATGCTTTGTAGATAATAAAATTCTGTTTAGGACCAAAATGCCTGTGCAAATAATGAAACAGTGATGTACTTGTACTGTAATTCACCTATAATAAGGCATCAGAGGAAAGACTCTATCAGGAAGGAACATCTTAAAATGTCACTTCCTGAATTTTGCAAATAAGAAAACATTAAATGCTGTCATTAAAATCAGTTTTGTAAAATGCATATGCAAACTAATTCCAATACCAATTAAGGGCTATAAGCTATCATTCTATCATTTCTGCCTCAGTAAATATGAACATATGCGAGTGTTCTGACAACTGAAAGATTATAGTTAGTGTATTTGATCCCTTGACTGTCTAGCTACCGTGGAACCTATCATTGTAGATTAAATTCCTTGTGACTGGTAAATTTTTTATGTTGGTAATGCTCACATACATTCTATCAAAGGCATTCCAGTATATTTAGAGATATGATATTAAAATTAAAATATGCAAGCATTTTCATATTTATAGTAGTTTTCAACTGAGTAAACTACTGAGATTCAGATTCAGTAGATGTATAGTGTTTCCATTTCTGGTTTATTTTTAACAAAGACTTGGAATACAATAGTTTTTCCCCTAAATCAGAAACTTCTTTGAATTATAAACAGAATGAGATAGAAATTATCAGATAGTAACTAGATGAAAAGAACTATTAACTTCTCCTTACATAGCTATGGCAATTATTATGTTTACAGTAAGTCTATGCTAATACCCTTTCATTTTCCAGAAGAAATATAATAAGGCAGTATTTTTCATTGTTGTTAATTTTGCTTCTAAAGTAATTATATAATTTACATACTAATCTTTTTGTGACTTGAATTAAAATGCACACTTATAAACACAGGAAAACCTCAGGAAAATACAGCTAGGACATTCTCATGATCACACAGTTAAACTTGTTTTATATGTAGTTATAAAAAAGCCAGCTAATACAAATTAATATCCAATAATATCTCAACAGCTCAGAGAGGTCACTGACCACTGAACTTACTCTTTGGAAAAACTTCCACAGTAGTTTGTCTTACCAGCAATGGTAAGTGAAACTTCTCTAGTATAATGCTGTCAGAAGCTAAATAAACATCATGGCAGGGTTACCAGCCCTTTAGGTTGTAACAGAAGTTGCATCCACAAAAAGATCACTCAAAGGAGCGTTGTGCTTATCAGACAAAGTGTTAAGCAAAAATCTAATTTTTTAATTAATTTTTTTAAAAATTTTGATGCATGCCCTTAAGCCTGGTGATTTGTTAGAACTGGATAATTTTGCTTATAAGACTGATATATACAAATTTTTAATACAGCTTACAAATATGAAAGGGACAGAGAGTTCTTCCAGATTTAACAGTTAAGAACGTCTGACCTCACATCTGCCAATAGGACCTTTTCCATTAAAATACAGTGAGGAGGTGGAGTTGCATTTCCACCTCCCCCCAGTAATAATGACTCATTAAAGCAGCAGGTAGGTCATAAATAGCTCTTTTCTCCTCTTATCTCTCTGTTTGGGTAAACGGCTCCTAATTGAAGCTTCATATTGATTTAGAATTGGGGTTGGAAAGCTGTATGTCATGTTGGGTTAATGCATACAGTTATTCACCTCCAGAGATCTATCCAAGATCACAAGTGAGTTTAGTTTTGTCGGCTAAGCCCATAATTTATATAATATTATGTATGTGTGATATGATAAACAACAAAATATCTTTACATCGTTTGATATAATAATCTCAGCTTGATCAAGGACTGCTAAGGACTGGAAAAGAAAGAGCCTTTACAGGACAAGATGAGTAACACAAATAAGACATTTAGAAGTTTTTTATATATAATAATTATGCTGCAGGACTTCAGCCAGTCATATCTATCCTCCACTTTGCTTTTGAAAGATGAATTCAGGTATTTTTGTTTGGATGTTGATCTACGTGTCTTTATTTGCAAAGAGATAAATTTACTCTGAGCTAAAAGTTTTGAGAAATAATTCTTTTAGAATATATTAGTTTTCAAACTAAGATTCCTTGGAACTTGTTAGATATTTACAAAGGTTAATTTACTTCCAGGGAAATAAGCAATCCTGTCTTACAAAATACCAGAATTGTTTAGGTTAGAAGAGACTTCTTGATATTAACTAGTCCAACTCCACTATGCAGCTAAAGAAAGCTGTGCAAGACCATGTGCAGATGGATTTTTGATACCTCCCAGGACAGAGACTCCACAACCTCTTTGGGCAACCTGTCCCAGTACTCTGTTACCGTAGCAATAAAAGAGAAATGTTATATCATGTTCATATCCTGTCACTGGACACTACTGAGAAGAGTCTTGCTCCCTTTTCTTCATTCCCTCCTATCAGGATTATATACACATGAATAAAATCTCTTCTGAGCCCTCTTTTCTCCAGACTGAAGAGTTCCAGCTCCCTCAGCCTCTCCTCATATAAAGGATGTATCAGTCCCTCAAGTATCTTTTCTGGCTCTGTGCTATACCTTCTGCCAAGTCCATTATCTTTCTTGTACTGGGAAATTTTGATGTGATTATGATACCTAATAAAAGTACAAGTAATGCAAACACTACAGAAACTCATGTTGGAACATGCTCTGAGGAAAATTACCTCTTGTAGCACTAACAAAACTAGAAATTTATGAGATGTTCCTGACAATGCAGGCAGCCTAATGAGACTATCATAATATAAAACCAGTTTCACTAATTTCACTTCACTAGCTTTTAGAATTTTCAAAAACATGTAAGCTATGGGATGTTTTATTGTTTTTAACCAGGTTCTGAAAGTTTATCTTAACATGCAACAGTGAACAATGCAATCCCTCTTAAATCAGAAGAAGCAATGCAGAAAAACCAAAATTTTGCAAAACATAACTAAACTGTACTTAATCGGACTTTTAAATCCTTACCTTATTGATGGGAGAGGTGTTGAATTTCTTCAAATTAAACTTATCAGAAAGAGTGGAGGAAGTCTGACATCTCATCACATCAGCTCTAGCTGTATGATTATGTAACATGCTAGAAAGATTCTCGTTGGACTCCGTGATGTCTGAATAAGGCTCAGATTCACCTATTTCTAACTTAATATAAAATGTAAACAACTCTTTCATTTTGCAGTGACTTACCTTGTCTGCTAGCCACTTCTTAGGCTGTACTTCTCGGAAGTGTTTAGTTCCATAAGCTTCTTGACCATATTTGCTTGATCTGTTAATTGATGGGTCATACTTCTTTTTAGTATAAGAAGAAAAAGGAAGAAATCTGAAATTCAAGAATATTTTCAAATCAGTTATGGTCTACTAAATCATAGGTATCGATGCTATAGGAGGTAAGATGGACATGTGTCTGCTATTTTCCAGTACATTTTTAATGTTCCCCCCTAATACTGTGAGAGGGTTCCTGCAATTTCTCCTACAGGTGTTTTTACATTAAATTTGGAACAAATAGATATAGAGTTTCCACAAGACAAAATGAAGATTTTCTGTACTTTGGCTGTATCCGCACTGACAACCAGTGTGATATGAAGACACAGGGAGCAGGGTTCAATTTCCTTGGATTTGCATGTTGACACCTCAAGGCTTAGCAGACTGTGCAGTCTGTGCCAGTTGTCAGTGTCAGGCATGTGCCATGCACAAGTACAGAGCTCATTTCTGGAGAATTTCCATCCACTTTACAAGTCATGTAGGTTCCCAAGAGAAAACCCCAACCTGATCATTGCAGCAGGATGGAAACATTCCAAACATGTCAGAAGCATAAGCATAAACAAAGGCAAATTTGCACCAGAAAGAATCCTCCCTGTACCTTAAACTAGGTATGTGTCCTTTTATATCTATTAAGCATATTAAATAAACCGTAGTCTCATCTAGTAGAATAGAAACTTATATAAACAGCACTAGCGACTTTCACATATTGGTAGTACCCAAAGCAAAGCAATTATTTCTTCTGAATTCACAAGTTGTGCACTTTACTCTCAAGTTACAACTAAGTCTTAATTAGCAATCTTTTGGAGCCTGACTCTTTCAGCTTTGGTCATATTGATGTTGTAGTCCTTGCTTACATAGTGTCACTGAACAACGAAGCTCCAGCTACCTGCTTTGGGCATGGAACATGTTTTCACCTGGATGTCCCTAACTCTAACAGCTACCAGTTTTCTGGGTAGGCTTCACAGTAAACTGTATGAGGGAAGGTGAAAGACATCTTTTATATAAAGAATCTGCAAAATACGCTACAAAGATGCCTTAGTTCCATTCCAGTTTGCAAAAGTTATGAGAGCAAACAGGTACATTTTAATATAAAGTAAAATCTTGGGATATTGAGTTTATCATTACTGGTATCCTGACAAAGCAACATGCATTCTTTATTCTACTACAGCAGGAAAAAATATTACAGAGCATAAATAGAAATATATGCTTCAGAACTTTAAAACCCCAATTTAAAATACCGCCATGAAAATACATGTAGTTAATTAAAACCTTTTCCTAGTTGAAAGCTTTTCAGAATCCAGAGTCCCCATTAGAGTAAGACAGTCAAACAAGTTTTTGATAAAGATGAAGATTAAAATACCTCTCTTTGTTTCTCAGTTGACACAAACTCAGAACATTGTTTCTTTGGAGTAACTGATCCCTCAGCAAATGTTTGAGTGTGTTGTTTTTTTTTAAATTATGTTTCTTTCTTTCTACTTCATAAAAATAAACTATTTTAGAATCTTCCCAGCTATATAAATTTATCCTATTAAGTACCACAAACAAATGCCATGTAAACTTAGTGTAAGAAAAACACTGAGTTAGCAGACTGCTAAATTATACAAGGCTGTAGTAGCATGTGTATACTCACGGGAAAGGACACTCTCACATAAGACAGATTATGGTACTTGTAATGCTAATTTGCACATGGGATGGACATCACACACACACAAAAATTAATGCGGCCCCAGTGTCCCAGAGAATACATTGAAGGTGCTGCGAGCCGGCTGCTCCACTTGCAGTTTTTATCACTTCTGAATTGCATTTTAATAGTACATTTTTCTTTTGTTCAGACATGAAAGAAAATTGGCTTTCCCAGGGGACTGGATAGCTGAGAAGACAAGGCTAGCAGTTTAGGGATTTGCCCATATATGCATAGAATTTTGTTGAACCATAGCATTCATAATTCAATATGAATACTATGTCTGTGAAATTTATACACAAAATGGCAAAAAAATCTTGAGGAAAGCAGAAGATAAATTAATTTACTATAGTTTTTCCTATGAAATTTATTACATAGAACTTTTGATTCTCCTGTGGATCAGTTAATCTTTGTCTCTTTAGCAAATGAATACTCAGAGTAATCTATATTCTACCATTATTCTAAAACAATTTTTTTAAAAAACACACACAAAATAAAACCCCAATCAAACATATATTGTAACAATTTTAGACAACTAATAATATGTTCTACATGTAGCCTAACACATATGTGTTCTGCATATCTCCTCTAAGAACATTAACTGCATTGTGTGCCATACAGCCTGGAATGTATTTCTATTGCTGAGTGAAAAATAGATAAATAAAGCAATCATGAGTTTTTGAGAAAGAACATTGAACAATAATATTTAAATTAAATGAAAGAACAGTAAAAATATAATAAGGTATAATGATACAAAGTAGTCTAAGTAGAAACTTTATTTTTATCCTTCTGTCTGTAGTTTGTTGTAAGAGCCAGGTGGGCAGATCCTTATAGCAATAATGCTCTAACTACTAGAAAGCAACATACGTTTGCAAATTCAATGTCTATTTAAAGCAAGTAAGAATTTCCATTACTCTATGTGAATATGCAATTATAAACAAAACAATTTTTTGTGTTAAGTAGGGTGACCAAATTAATGGGAGTCATACAAAAGTCATTATACCCCCACAACCAGTAATAATAGTAAAAAGCTATAGCACTGCAAAACACTTTAGTAATGGTATTGTGTTCTGTAGCTCTGTATATACACCTGACACAGCTTTTCCCTAAATTAATGACAGTATGTGCTCTGAATGAGACAGAAGAGACTGATGAAAGAAGAAGAAAATTAAATCCAGACAATAGCATGATGCCATTACCAACTGGACAAGTTTAGACCTCAGTAGTTTGGTTTTTTTCTACAAAAACTCACTTACTGATTATCACATCTAGGTTTCAGCTTTTCCATGTGATTCAAGTGTAAATTCACAAATTCTTATAGGTACTCAGTAAATACAACAGACGTAGCAGAAAAATTAAATTGTGTCTTGATGTTATATCGTGCCATAAAACAGTCAGGATAAGCTAAGCTTTTCCAAAAAGTTGATGATTTAATGGGATGTAAAGTTTCCCTAAAGAAATAAATTTTAAAAAATGAAAAAATACTTCATTTCATCCACCACAAAAGCTTGGATCAGAGATATGCCAAAGAATACATTCAAGACAGGGGGAAATAGCTGGAATAAAAAATGAAAAACTATTTCAGGTCCTACAAATAGCAGTATTGCACATACAGAACCTGAGGGAGGGCCAGGACCAAAGCTGTTGGTGTCAATGGTAATGAAGGCCACTTGCACTGCTGCCAGGACCACAATTTGCCGAACCTAATTGGCATCAAAACACCTACAACCCTTGACTTAGTAGCCAGTCCTGGATCTAACAGCTGCATGTATTTAAATTCCAAAAGATAGTTCAGATATTTATTGTTAACAACAACAAAAAATAAAATTGCTTTCTCTCTCCCTTCACTCATATTACACTACATCTCATGCTACTATTAATTTAATCTTTCTAATCCTTCTTTTCCCTACATTTTTACTCCCTCGTGATCTTTCCTCCTACATCTTCTCACCCACCATTTCTTCCCTCTATTCTGTCTCTTTTATAGTAATGTCTTTCACTATCGTGACAGGAGATAGAAGAGGCCTTTTAGAGGCTGAAGGCTTTCCAGTGGGATGGGCTGAGAAAACAGAAGCAGCAGCAGGTCCTGGCCTCTGGTGTCTATGGCAGTGTAAGGGGAGAAAGTAGCAGCACAAACAGGAAGGAGGATTTGTCAGGTCCATCAGTTACTGCTGGGCAGCAGCATCCCACTGCTATATGGTACCTACCGATGGGACACAGTACAGAGGCATTCACTTTTTCTTTAATTTAATTGGCAGCAAAAAAACCCAGAGGAACCAGATCTTTCAGAACATTCTCTGGACTTGCCCAACAGGAAAATTCCAGCAACTTAGTAATTCTGACACCAGAAACATTTCAAACCTTACCTGGGCTTCTGAGAAAGAACTGGCAGTAGATCTACTGCCAGACTGCCATACATGCTGCACAACCAGGGCACAATAATAAATACTAAACTGAGAGCACCAGAAGGAAAATTCTTCAAATATTGTCTCTCAAACTTCCAAAATATTATTTTGTACCGTACATTTTTGTAATGTACTGATAAAAATGCTACCAAAATCTTAACCCTAGATGTGTAGCAATGTTGTTATATTTGTACATGCAGTTGTTCAATACAACAGCAGTTCAATTCCTTGTTTTCTTGATCTGATTCAAATAAAACAATTTTATCTCACTTTGAAGAAAAAATGAACAATTAAATCCAAACAATGTTTCTCTGTTGGCAAGCTGTGAATGTTGGGGTTTTTTTTTCCTTTTTTTCCTTTATATAAAACACAAAATTAATGCTAAGCTTTCAAATTTGGGCTATACCTGAAGTAATTTCTTAATCAAATCCAACAGTGTCTTATCTTTTCACTCGGGGAACTAAGAAGCACAATGGTTTTTCACAACAGAACAAGTGCAGCAGTGCAGCTAATGCACATGACAATCAAAGTGTTATTTACAAAAATAACAAGAGAATATTTTACTTAACATATCTAGTTGGAATACCTTTAGCACAGTATTTTTAAAAAATAAAATTATTTTGGGTGCAGGATGACAAATATTTTCTACAGTAATATCCTAAATTCATACTTTTTTTTCAACAAGCTATCAATCACTTCTATCAATCACTTTTATCCTAATGTCAGTAAATGTAAGAATCCTCTGGCTATTTTTGTTTAACCCCTGTATAAGATAATGTGAAGTGGCAAAGAACAGCTTGCCTAGTTCTTGTAGGAAGTAAGAGAGATCTCTTCTGCAGCAAATTCTGAAACTTCTTAATTATACACAGACTTATTATCTGCATCCCCAGTGTTATAAAGTATCAGAACTTCATTAGAAAAATTAAGATGGAAAAACGAAGGCACTACTTTGTAAATTTCCAGTGGAAATTAGCTGGAAGAAGCAGAGGAATACTGGATCAAAAGAGGGTAATCATGCTTAACTGTACCCTAGAGCACCCGCATGTATAATACGATTTGCACAGTAACTACCTCTCCTATTACTGCTTGTTTGGAGTATTCTGTGTTAATGGGGTTAGCTAATTTAGTATTTTAACTTAAAAAGACTCTGCTGATTAATAAATGTTGCACACTGTGCTAGTAATTAAAATAAATGGAAGAGTTACAAATAGAAGTTGAATTGTTAAGAAAACATTATCTGAAAATATATGATAATCCCTGTTTATCATAATACAATAACACTCCGGAAAATATGCAAATTGCTGAAGTTGCAAAGCATATGAAAATCTAAGTGTAATTTGAAAAAAGTTTTCAGATGTGCTTTATTTGTATGACATAAAATGCCGTAGCCATTTTCACTGCAGATAAGTCAGAAATACAGTTAAAGATCTTACAGATGTTGAAATTAAGAGTTTTTTTTTTAAATCTTAAATTTTGCCAAAGTGGCTTGCTTTTTAAATTTAATACCAAACAGCTCATAACATGCTCTTCAAGTATAGAGCTTATGTAAACCACCTTTCATGCACAGCACCATGTAGCACAGAAGCACCTAAGCTGCTTCTACAGAAAAGCATTATCTTGCTGATAGGAAGGCCACCAAGAGCTTGGTGCTGCAGTGCTCACGCAGCAAGTGAGAGGCAGGGGGTGCAAACATTGCACTCTGCTGCACACATGTGAACCAGCTTGTTCAGGACTAGCTTGGTTGTCTCCAGTGCAGCACTGAGCAGACATAGCCAGAAGCTGAGATGACTTGCCTGATGTTTCATCAGAAGACTACAAAATAACAGGAATCCTCAGCCTTACTCTGCTGCTGGTTTATCCCTATTCTAGAACCACATTGCAAGTGATTCTGAGGTATGTTGGCTTTATAAAGATATATACACTATACTTTGAAGCATGAGGCATATCTCATGAGGGAGATTTCAGCAAAGTTAATGAAAATAATTTACATTTTTGTTCTCTGGAAAACTAGGCCAGCATGCAGGTAGCTGCATGCAACTGAGTAAAGAACTTATTATGCTTAGTGATGTAAATCTGCCGGATCCAGCAGTTGGTGTCTCAAACTAGACACTGGTTTATTAAGTAGCCATCCCACAGGAGTCCAATTGTCATTCCTATCCAAGCAGAGGGGAAAATCACTTCATTTGTATGAAAAATAGCACAATAAGGCAGTAACAGCTTCAATTACATGAGAAAAAAGGAATAATTTTTATTAGGCTAGATTACCCAGTTGCTCTTTCACTACAATATAGGAAATTCCAGAAGTTGTTTTAAGTAAGCACAACATTCTCTCTTGCTTTCATTTGTACTACTTTTGCCTGCCTCAAACTCTCCCACAGCTTTTTCAATCATTTCTGCATTTTATCAGAAGCAAAAATCTTTCTTGGAGTTTGAAACACTAAGAGAAAACATATTGCCACTTTAAAGAACCCTGTTAATCAGGGTCAGTAGGAATTCTGAACATTGTTGGAAATAGCAGGTATGTACTAACAATTTTTCTGTCTGAAGAGATATCACACAATACTCACTCTGGAAATATACAGATTAAGGATTCAGTTGTCATTTTATCCAAACACAAGCTTTCTCAACAAATGCCATACACTTCTGCTGTTCATTCTCCTCCTTATTTTCTGAAGAAGAATAATCAGCATAGGAAGCACTACAAGGAAGAAATACAGTCCCAAAGTACACAATTACATAGAAAGAGACAGAAATTTGTCAATTCATAATAGACAGTGAGAAAATTCACACAATTCATAATAGAGACTGAGAAAAAACTACTGTAGAATCTGAGTAACCCTTTGCTGACTCCTCCCTGGAGAATAGCATCCCACACAGCAGCTGCAGCCTTACTAGTGAGCATTAGTCCTGAAGATGACCTGCAACACTGTCATCACCTGTTCAAGGTTACAGATGTGACCCTTGCATGGTTGGTTGAATATGAAGCACAAATGGAATGATCATAGCCTGAAAATGTATATTACATTATGCACTTATTGTGCATGAAGCCAAGAATCATTGGTGTTAGGACACTTTTGAGTGTTGAGGATGATGCTAAATGCTTCCTTACCCATAAGGTAAATAAAAAGCCCGGATCAATTATCACCTGTCGAAGTTGGAGACTCCAAATCTAAACTGTACCAGACCAAAGATTCCCAATTCACCCACTGAAGAGAGTCAGTGAAATATTTATTACAGGGTCTGACCTTCTGAAACTGTTGACACTGTGATGTCTGGGGTAAAACTCACCAAATAAAGACTGGGCAATATAGCCATGCCTATAAATAAAGGACATCATCCTCACATGGAATGCATCAGTCAAAATTTATTCAGTGAAAAGAAGACTTTAAATAAGAGGTAGAATATTAATTATTACCTTGTGGCTTTAAGAAGGGTTATTTTTTTTATTTCAGTGGCAGAAGTTAGAAACTTTTTTTTTAAAGACCCAGGTTTAAGTTGAGATGTGAAAGTCAAGCTGCTTCTCCCTCACCCCCCAAAAAAGAAAGACTAGGGAAAACGTAGGCTGCCTGATGAATGAGGTGGGCACCCTAGTGGTGGAAGACACAGTGAAGGCAGAGTTATTGAATACCTTCTTTGCTTCAGTCTTCACTGCTGAAGCTGTCCCTCAGGAATCCCAGACTGGAAGCAAGGGAAAAGACCTATAAAGACGAAGACTTTCCCTCAGTAGAGGAGGACCAGGTTAGAGACCACTTGGCCAAACTGGACATCCATAAGTCCATTGGGCCCTTATGGATTGTACCCATGAGTGTTGAGAGAGCTGGCAGATGTTATTGCTGTGCCACTCTCCATCATCTTTGAAAGGTCATGGAGAACAGAACACCTAGTTCTGGGCTCCCCAGCTCAAGAGAGAGAGGGAACTACTAGAGAGAGTCCAACAGAGGGCAACAAAGATGACTGGGGGATTGGAGCACCTCCCTTATGGGGAAAGGCTGAGAGAGCTGGGACTCTTTAGCCTGGAGAAGAGAAGGATGAGGGGAGACCTTATTAATGCCTGTAAGTATCTAAAGGGTGGGTGCAAGGAGGATGGAGCCAGAATCTTTTCAGTAGTTGCCAGTGACAGGATGAGGGGCAATGGGCACAAACTGGAACATAGAAAGTTTAATTGAAATATGAGGAAAAACTTCCTTATGGTGACAGTGAGAGAGTATTGGAACAGGCTGCCCAGGAAGTTTGTGGAGTCCCCTTCTTTGAAGATATTGAAGACCTACCTGGATGCAGTCCTGTGTCACGTGCTCTAGGGGATCCTACTTTAGCAGGAGTTGGACTAGGTGATCTCTAGAGGTCCCTTCCAACTCTGATAAATCTGTTATTCCATGATTCCATGAAATGAAAAGATACAGAAAGGAACAGAAAGCTGAAGTAGATTTTTACTTGTGACTCAACTCAGTTATGTTTTTGGTATGAAAGGAATAAGAAGTACTCTATCTCATTTTTGGCACCAAATAAAAAAAAATAACACTCCTGAAAAAGTGGAAAACTAGCCAAACTAAGAGATTTATTTTTCTTTCAAAACTGCTTTTGAGTATTTACTGTTACTATTAAAACAAGGAAAATGTGAAGTAAATGATCCAACAATAAAAACATAAAAGCCAAACCATGAAAATGCAATTGATTCTGCATTCTTAAGTCCCATTCCTGCAGCTGACACATAGCAACATTAAGCTGATAGAAAAGCTTAGATCAGATCAAAGACAGCAAAGCATCATGTCCCAGCAAATCAGCAGATCAGAGGCTGCTCCTAAGGAGAAGTGATTCCTTTCTGTCCTGAAGTCTGGTATTAAAGTGCCAAAGGCTTGCCAAAAGCAGTGAATTCAAGGGAAAAGTTGACAAACTATCATTTCTTTTCTACTTTACTAAGACAGAGCAGATGACTTAACTGGTTTTTATTATGATTGGACAAGAAACAATTGGAATTAATAGGCCTAAACCTTTTGAGACAGAAGCCTTAAATCTTTTGGTATGGATTATGTCTGTATTTAGGATTGTATGGGAAAGAACTGGCCCAATTGACTCTATTACAGATGCTATGGCTTAGGAAACCAAACTGCTTCAAAGTTGATTACAGTTTTTGCATCATGTTCTAACATGTGCAACATATGCTTCCTTCCCTTCCAAGGGAGCTTTGGTGTCTACTGGGAGAGAAAGCAAGTCTCATTGGCATGCAACACCATTTTTTCCTCTTGTAGTCTGTAAGCTCCCTGAATATGAAGACTGAAACAGTGTTTTTTTCCTTGGCAAGATGCATGTGGACAAACAGCATTTGCATTTGTTTTCTTATTTCCCATTTAGACCATCTGTTGCATCACATATTATTATTATTGCAAGTTCTTCTGCAGATTCATAATAAAGATGGCACATGTCACACAATTACAAGATGAGGTCTCTGCCCTGAGCAGTTTATAATCTAAGGACACAGAATTTAAAAGTATGTAAATAGAATGTTTGCTAGTAAGCTGTCAGGTTTGACATTTCATTTTGTCAGGCATGAAAGGTTTCTGAAAGCAACAGAATAAAGAAAACATTCTCATAAGAATATAAGAAAAAACAAAGAACTTACTCATTGTCATGTATACGATTTTTCCATTCCTCCCATTTCATTTCCTCTCTGGCCTCCTCTAGTGAATTGATTGATGCTGCCACTCGCAAGGTTGGTTCCAAAGGCTTGTGGCGCTGCTGAAACACTTCAGCAGGATCACGGAAAGGCCCCTGAAAGGTATAGGATAATGTAAGTGTTTTATTGTGGGTTTACAACTCTTTTCTTCTTTTATTCATGACACGCCACTGATCAAAGAGGATGCAGAATGTCTGGGAAGTGTAGCAAGACTGCTTCCAAAAAATTAAAGCAGTTCATTTTAAGAGAGGGTTGCAGAGAAGACAAAAGTTGGTAACATACTCCAAAGGGTCAAAGAGAAAATGAGAAATGTACACTCCAGATTTCTTTAGCTATCAATAAATATGCATTATTTTAAAATATTGCACTTTATAGTTTATTAGAAAAACTTAGTTTTTCCTTAGAAAAAGATAGTGGTGAAATAAAGCTGATACACAAGAATTAAATGCATCTAGATTCTGCTTAAGCAAAAAGCTTAAGTCGTTTCCTTCCCCTAGGATAAATAATGTTTTACCTTAAACAATATGCTCTTTTAAATTTAACTGTAAAGCTACCTGGAAGGGAATTAATACATACCTTAAGATACAAATCTTCTTATACAATTCAAACTAATTAATTCAATGATACAGGTGTATAGATCATTTTTGAAAAGTCTAATTCCACATTAATTTCATTATTCATAAAAAAAAGAAAGTGCATAATTCTTTCACAAGTGTCTCTATATATACACATATATATCTTTTTTCCAGTGTATATTGTTTAAAAACTCATTATATAGGCATCGACCATTCAATAACACAGAAAAATAGCAGCAGGAAGTCCTTTCCTGCACTATCAAAGTGACAAATCCCATGCTTTGTTTTTTGTACTAACAAGTAAGAACTTACCTGGAGTGTAAGTAATTAGTGCCATATTACACTCAGGACAGTTTAGTGGCAACTCTGGATTTAGAAGTGTTGCTAATTAATTTTTATTATATTTTCATCATGGTTGATCCTGCAATGAACTAGTGAAACCTTCTGAAACTATGAACAGACAAAGAATCATAATAACTGCCTTTCTTCTTAAAGATATCCTTCTTTAAATAGGTTATCACTAACAAGTCACAGCTGGAGTTACTGCAAGCACTGAGTGAAGACTGTGGGGCTAATAAAAAGAAATGATTCACGCCTCATTTATGTTCACTTATGTTTTACATTAATAGAAACCAATAATAGGAACCAGTTACCATAAAAGTCATGGACCGTAAATAACACAAATGGCAAATAAGTATCATCTAGTACTTTTCACAGCTGGACAGGAGGATTGCTATATTTGAAAGTAGTTAATGGATTTTTATTGGAACTTTACTTTTTAAAGACACAGCACCATGATTTTGAGATCTTTTCAAAGGTCCTAGTAAACAAGTGAGCATAATATTTACTTTTTTTGCAGGTTTTTTCCTGCTTCTGCTTTCTAAGTATACATTAAAAAAACACATTCATTTAATATGATCTCAATAAGTCTATAAAAACAGAATTAAATGTATTATCACCCATGAGAGAATAACCAATACTAGAACAGGACATTAAAACCCGTAAGCAATGTTCTAGTAACATATAATCTGATGATCAAGTTTTTAAAATAGTTTAAAACTTATAATATAAAAGAACATCTATTGCAAGATGTTTGCAGGAAGTGGATATATGGAGCAAAGAAGAAAGAAATGTACTACTGTCATATATTATCAAGATAAATATGTTTGCTTTTAGCAAATAGTCTTTCAGAATATTGTATTTCTTCTTCATTGTAAGATATCGACTTATATTCCATCAGTGTAAGGGCCAAATCAGGTATCCAAGAAAGGATTTTTTTTCCATCTTTAATTTCTAAGACCTTCCAACTCTTTCTCAATCCATAGTTCAAATGAAATTAATGGCAGTCCAACTACTGAAAAGGTCTCAAAAGCAAGGCTGTGTCATCACTCTATAAAAGTAGGGTATATATGTTGGAATATTATGATGATTTTGAAAATTCCCTGTGTATTTTTCCATTTCTCTAAATCACGTATTTGAACAAATTTGACTAGCAATAAACACCTAAGGAATATATCTAAAATGACAAGACCTCTAAAAAAATCCATTTACTTCTTCCCATTTTACAAGTTTTGTGAAATCTGTGGTAGAATGGTGCTAACAAATGCCACCAAATTGGCAGTGTCTGCAGGCATTTCATGCATCCTCCTACAAAATGCAAATCTTCCTGGGGAGATCAGTCCAAGAAAGAAAGGGGGTATGTCAACCGACAGTTTTTACACTGAAAGCAACTCACACAGCTCTGTGTTCTCTGTTTGGAATGTGTACTGCGTAGTGTAAAGCTTCTTGCTACCAATTGGTCTGCCAAATAAAGCAGGTTGGTGTTCTTACTACTTTATCATAAAATCAGAAACTCGTGATAAAAATTATGATCTACATGAAACCATAAGTTCTTCACTGCCTCCATTCTAAGAGACCTAACAGCATTCAAAAAAATCCCCTAAAAATGGCAATGTACTTTCTGTTATTAATGCCTTTCAATGAACAGGTGACTAATTTTAACGTTATCTATTTCTATCAAGCTGTAACCCTAGTTAACTCAGCAATAAAAATGATAGCTCTAACTGATGTGTAAATATCATTAAAACTTTTAAATACACTTACATACACAGAGCTTACCTATAAAATGTTAAATACACTTTTTCCTTAGAGAAAGCTGATATATACCTAATTTCTGTTCTTTTAAACATATATAATTGACATTCTTGTATGAAATATCCAACCCTATGGGCAATACAAATTTTAGATACTTGAAAGAATGTTGAAGTAACAAGTGATTCACAGTGGGACTGACAGATGTTAGAAAAAGAAGCTTGATGCCAAAAAGCGTTACCACAGAGAACTAGGACTCAAGTATATCTAGTAATTAAATTCCTTATTGTCACACCAGACAACTTTCAGGATGATATGTTCTGATGGGTTTTCATTTCCAGCTGTTTCATCAGCTCAAACCAGTGTCCTTTTCTTAGACATACAACCCTAAATTGTCAAAGTGTTGTACAGGGATTTAGCCGTGTGACTCCCATTAACATCAATAAGAGTCGCGCAGCTAAATCCACGCGCTGTGCTTTGAAAATTTACCCCACAGTGTACATCCCAGGGTGCTGAAAGGATTAAAGTATTATATAGTAAATTCCCTCTTTGAGGTGCAGAAAATAAACAGAACTCTTCTGGTTTGTTCTAAAAGGCTATCTGTGCACGACTGCTGTGCATGTGTCTGAACTTAGAAAGGCCTATATAATATTAGAAATCCAAACAGAAACTTGTAAAATATTTTGTATAGAGTAAAGTGGTTTTGCAAGAGCAGCTTCACAATGGAAAACCTCTGAGTTCTCCCTTTATTTTAAAGTATGACTCCTGTACTATGTCCACGAGGCAAAAATTTCCCCTCCTGAGAGACAGTGCATTCAAGGATCAATGTAGCCCTTTTGGTCCCAGAAGGTAAGCTATAACGTTTTGTTTATTTCAACTCCGAACTCCCTTATCTCCCAAACTGTTTGTTGGCCCACACTGTGTCTCAATTCTAATGTGAGTCAACAAGTTCATTCAATGAGGAAGCTCAAACAGTCAAGGTAGGGAGAACATAAGGAGGGAAAGACAAAAGTGGAGAATTGCCCTGAAGCTGCACCTTACTGTTTAAAGCAGTGTGGATCTCTGTGGCTCATCTTTACTTCTGCAGCAGTATTCTGGCAGACCTGCATTTTCTCCTGGTACTCTAACCCAGTTTATGTACCACCACCAAGACAGACTCATCCTGTTACAGACAAGTCAGTCATGACATAAAGATCAGAAAAGCCTCTTTTGTGTGGGTTAGCAAGTACACCCACAGCTGTCCCCTCTGAAGATCAATATGGATGCAATCAATTAGCCACAGGTAAATTGTGGCAGATGGCATGTCTACATGTAGTTTGATCCCAGCAGCAGCTGAAACTTCAGACTGTGTTCATATCACCTCTACCAAGGACTGCAATAATATACTGAAAATAACTATATTGATCCAGAGAAGTAAAATACCAATAAAGGTATATTATACATTGCTTATTGCTCATTATTATTGTCCAATTTCTGTAACTAAATGATAGCTTCAGTAAAAGTTACTGAGAAGGGTTCATTTACAAGCATTGTCTTCCTAAGCAAAATATAGAAGAGAAAATTTAAATACAGGGCGGAGTGAAAAAAAAAAATAATGTAAGAGGTTCTGAAAACATTGTGGTCAAAGTCAAACACTGAAAGCGTATATGTGAGGTAAGTAGAAGGTTCAGTAGATTGGGCAAACTGAAAAATACTTCAGAAGAGAGGGAAAGATGTAATACTTCTATCTCAAAAAGTACCTCTATCAGGCATCTACTGGTAAAAGCTACATGTAGTACTGTCACAAAGTGAGGAACATAAACATCTCAAAAGTCTGCCTGCTGTGTATATTGGGTATATTCCCAGCAGGTTTTGATAATAAGTTGTTCTGCCATCTCATGGGATATTCACTCTAGTGCATTATCTCAGAGATCTCCATTACCCTATAGAAAAGGAAAAAAAGCTATCTGCAGTATATGGTGAAAACAGCTGAAATTAAAATTGAGACCATGACAGTTAAGAATAGGAGGTAGGTAACTTGGCTTTGCAGAACGAAACACAGAATTTTTTTCAATTAGGTCTGATACACAGGTAGTGGACACAAAAGAGCAGGAACTGTTCTATACTGAGAGGATGCCTTCTGGCTATTGCAAAAAGACAAAAAGTTATCACAACTAATTATTTTGTTCTATTGCCTTTAATTTATCCTATTTTTTAAAATTTAAAATTGGAAATTAAGAATTCTAACTCTAATGAATCGTAATATTGATATTCAATTATATCAGGTCTTCCCTTTGAAGTATTGGAAATGACTTTTTTTTCCCTAAAGAACAAAAATAAAATAAATAAAATTTAAAGAATCATATTTCCCTGTTTTTACACACCACTTAGGTTTATTTTCAGATGAATAGGTTTCAAAGATTTTACATCCTAAATGAAAGCACTAGACCTATATATAAAAAAACAAATCCTAAAAGGGATTTTTGGAGTCGGAGATCCAACTCGAGATATTCTATGATAATCTATGATAAAATATACAAACACAAGCTGCCTCAGAGACACTAAAAAATGTTACCTGAGGTTTCTGTTTGTCAATAGCCATGGAGAAAGTTGGAGGCCTTCTACAAGTCGGCCAGTCATAGAGGTCATAGGCAAAGGGACTCTTCACTTCCTGTCGCCGGTGGCTCAATGGCTTTGACTCCCGCAGCAGCAGTTCCATTGGATCTGGGGATTTTCTGAAGGGTGAATTGTATATGCCTGCAATCTGAGCAGAAAATGGAATTATCTTTTACTTCAACTAACTTCAAACTCATTCTTACACTTATTCTGTAAATCAAACCAATTAAAAAATCACCTATATAATGAACATTTCTACACCAAGTTTCTGATGACCACTGCCATGGGATAAATCTATAGTGTAAATGCATCTCTGGGTATTGAATTACAGTTGCAAAAGGGTTTAAATATGATAATGTAACATATAATTCAGGTTTCAGCCTTTCAGGTGGGGTTAACTTTCATTTTATGGAAGAAAGAGCTTCCTGTATCTCAAACACGTTTTCTATCAGTCACATTCAATCTTCTTCCTTCCACAGCAGCAGCCAACAAAACACACCATTTTCCCTTAAAAAAATAATTAAAAGTACAAATATTTGCCTAGTTTTAAAGGCAAACTATTATAGTTGTCTTGAAATTTCAAGTTGCGTTTAAATTCCAATTAAATTCCTGTACACAATAGGAACAAGAATAACTACCCATTATTTCCAAACACATACTTAAAGAGTAAAATAAATGCTTATGCAAGGGCACATAACTCTTGTCCCTTTAAACTGTGTGCTAGCAGCTCACAATGTGGACTAAGACAGTAGCAACTTCAGCATTTTGAAAAGTAAAACTGAGTGATTAGTTGAGTGGAAATATAAAAAAAACCTTATGGAATACCAGAAACCAGTAACTGTTTTTTTTTCTAACAAAATGTTCACATTAAATTCCTTTAAATATTCAAATGCACTTATTTTTAAGACTACAGAAGATGCAAAAACCAAAAATTTACAATAAAAAATTCTGATTTGTGAAGACTGGAAGATTCATTCTTCGCTGAATTTGCTATTTAATTTTTTTCAGGATACACCCCTAAATGCATCTTGGCATGATCTAATATAACCATTACTAATATAAATCAGGCATTTCAAATTCTGAACAAATAATCTACATCATTAACAGTCTGTGAGTATCTGGCAAGTCAAAATTGTGACAAATTGTTCCTGAGTAATTGCTATACATGTAGAGATTTTATCAGCTGTATATAAACAATTGTCAAACAGACATATGCAAGGTTACTGAATTAAGTATGAAATGCTAAACATGAGAGTTTCTATACCATATTGCGCAAGGCCACTAAATCTCTTATAAAACACATTACAAAGGCTTAAAAAACACCTGGCAAAAGTTAAAGATACTGAGTTCCTTCAAGAATAATTATATTTTCTACAACAGTATACTTAGAGTATTCTTAAGACTTGTAAAGTAGATTTGCACAGTTAAAATATATTGTCCTTTGCTTTTATAACAATTTCAGTTGCTAAGAAGTATTGCATAAAATAGTAGGAAAATAACAAGTTTTGTGATGTGGGAAAGGTATGGAAAAGAGTAAATGTTTAAAATCTTTGCATTTTGGAACACTACTGAGGGCCCATGAGAAAACTAAGTAGAGCCTCCTCATAAAGTATTAATCTCCTGGGGCTGAAAGGACTGAACACTCCCCAATTAGCTCTAATGCATTTTTCATTAACATATCCTACTGGGAAGCTCCAATTTCTTGTGCCAAAACAGTTTAAAAAGGCCCATGTAAAAATTACTGTTTACTGGACAAAAATATTCAGAGATGGTAGCTTATTCAACATATTGGTGGTCTACTCAAAATCTTATGGGCTATATTCTTCAACTCTGTAAGTGATCAGACCCTAATGACAATTGATTTTGGTCCTCTGTTATATATTCTTATCTTAGTGCAAGCCGTATAAACTATTTCACTGCATGATCCATCTCCGTGTGTGCTGGGAAAGAGAACATGAATAGAAAACTACCAGGTCACCAAAAATGTAAACATTTTCCAGAAGGAAAACTTCTCCATGTACACAACTGAGAACCAGGATGACCTGGAATAAACCACTACAACATAATTATGACTCTGAAATTGGCAGTCATGGATGTGTTGATCAGCAGTAAATCCTAATAGCACTGCATCTGGCTAAAATGCACACTTTTTAAAAATCCTTTCTTTGAAAAAAAAACCAAAACAACAAAACAACAAACCAACAAAAAACCCAAACTGAAGAGTAAATTAGGTAGGAATTCTTAAACACAAAAATTTTAATTATTTCAATCTTCATAGCATGAGTTTGGTTTTTAGTTTTTGTTTCTCCAAAGTGGAAAAATATACCTTAAGTAATTTAAACATTTTTCCTCTGAAGAATTACAGGCAAGAATAACTTTAAAGCAATCTGTTTTCTGGGCTCTAAGGCATGGCATTTGCTTCTGTTACTCAGAGCAAGTATAACAGACTCCGTAAGTATAATAGCTTTCTGAAACTGCATTTTGCCATCTATACTGAGATGTTATGTATATTCTAGATGACATTTCTTTCTTTAAGTGTTTGGCAGTAGAAAAAAACTGTAGTTCATAAAGGGTTCAAACACTGTGAAATGCTGCTGAAAACATCAGGGTGCACAAAATGATTTGCTTTTAGCACTTTTAACACCACCAAAATTAGCCATAATAGATGTGAGAATCCATTGATTCTGTGTCTTTTGAATTATTATTGCTGGAAAAGTATCTTAAACATCTACCTTAGTCATCTTCTATTGTTCTTTTTTTGCATACTATTCAGATAATGTACAAACTATGAAAATGAATTTGGAGTTTTAGTGAGGCCAGTTGGACACTTTAAAAGCTGATGCTTCTTTTACAGTGGAAGGCCTTCATAAGATCTGGGTCAAAACTGAAGTGCATTTTTAAATAACAATTTTTCAAGCAATCCTTGTTAATTACTTTGCATTTTAATTATATATGTTCAAGTATTCAAACAGACAGCAGAGCAATCAGCAGAGTTAGTACCTAGGTAGATAAAATTAATATCAATTTACTCTAAATTCCCCAAGGCTTATGCTAAGGTTTTTAAGCTTAGATTTAAAATTGGCAAAGTTTGGTAGGAGAGAAAAGGGGACAAATTTGATTCTACTTCACAGTTCAGACCAATCTCTGGCAAAATTGCTTCCATTCATTTATAAATATCTCTGCAAATCATTGTCTTATTTTTGTAATTTCTTGCACACGTGCTGTGTGCTGATGGACAGCCTGTTCACTCTATCCTCTGCAGGGAGCTGGCAGTCTGCAGAACTAAGAATCTGGAGGATCAAGGCCTTTGGTACTTACTAAATTTGCATATCTTCTTGAGACCAGTACAATGTGTTAAAAGTGTTTCTTCTTTTCCCTGCTTTACTACAATTTTCTCTCAACCACAAAACCGATGTAGTTAATACTGGTTTTTCAATGGTAAAGGATCTTTGAGATCTTACCTTCTACTTTGAGTCCAATATTTGCCCCACCTTTGCTACATACTAAATTATGTTGTCCTCCAAAATATTATGATAGGTTACAAAAAGTACTCCTTGTCTGCAGGAAGAATGACACATTTTTCTGTGTCCATGTTCTTCACAAATAAGAAGGGCCTCTGTCAAAGCCAGTTTTCTGGGACTTGATTTCCAGGAACAATTTTCTGAAGTGACAAACACTGTGGGTAAATCTGTGCTGTTAAAAAACCTACAGCTGAGTTATTTGCAGTACTGTCATGCTAACTTCCACCTCAGTAAGACCAAAGAAATCTCAGGAGAGGATGCTGCTAATAGCTTCTTACTGACCTCCTTGCATCAGGCCCTTCTGGTGAATGGTGGCCCAGTGGTGAATATGGCAAATGAGGTGTGAAAGCACAGATTGATTATTTTTTTTTTAAGACTATGGTTCTGTCTTATCAGGGAAAATAAAAATAGAAAATAATAATTTAAAAAAAAAAGACAGATGTAGTTATACATTAGATATATATTTTTCCCTAGAACTCTCTGCCTTAGACCTTCCATCATGGAAACCCAAGCATGACCTGGAATATTAATTGTGTCAGGTCAAGCATACTGGCAAATGTACCATTTGTTACTCAGTCATCCTTAGCATTACATTAATATTTTGAATCATTTTGCATTTCTAACTCTCTATCATTTCATTTCCTCACAATCATTGTTTTATCTTTATAATTAATGGTGGCACATAAAGAAAGGAAAAAAAAAAAAAAGAAAACAAATATTAATTTAAGGAACATTAGCAAAGAAAATATTTGTTTGCTTTGGTTTTTCTAATATTATGGTTTGTTTCCACCTCTAATCCCATATTTAGTCTACGCTATAGAATATCCATTTTTTGTCTTTTCCTGTTTGTCATTTCTATACAGAGAAAGACAAATGTTTCGTTTTTTTTTCCCAGAATACAAGAAAGAAATTATTTAGGAGCGGAAGGAAGGAAGGAAGGAAGGAAGGAAGGAAGGAAGGAAGGAAGGAAGGAAGGAAGGAAGGAAGGAAGGAAGGAAGGAAGGAAGGAAGGAAGGAAGGAAGGAAGGAAGGAAGGAAGGAAGGAAGGAAGGAAGGAAGGAAGGAAGGAAGGAAGGAAGGAAGGAAGGAAGGAAGGAAGGAAGGAAGGAAGGAAGGAAGGAAGGAAGGAAGGAAGGAAGGAAGGAAGGAAGGAAGGAAGGAAGGAAGGAAGGAAGGAAGGAAGGAAGGAAGGAAGGAAGAAAGAAAGAAAGAAAGAAAGAAAGGAAGAAAGGAAGAAAGGAAGAAAGAAAGAAAGAAAGAAAGAAAGAAAGAAAGAAAGAAAGAAAGAAAGAAAGAAAGAAAGAAAGAAAGAAAGAAAGAAAGAAAGAAAGAAAGAAAGAAAGAAAGAAAGAAAGAAAGAAAGAAAGAAAGAAAGAAAGAAAGAAAGAAAGAAAGAAAGAAAGAAAGAAAGAAAGAAAGAAAGAAAGAAAGAAAGAAAGAAAGAAAGAAAGAAAGAAAGAAAGAAAGAAAGAAAGAAAGAAAGAAAGAAAGAAAGAAAGAAAGAAAGAAAGAAAGAAAGAAAGAAAGAAAGAAAGAAAGAAAGAAAGAAAGAAAGAAAGAAAGAAGGTGCAAATAGGAAGGGAAAGACAATGCTGTGTTGGTTATGCTGGATAGTTCCTCAGAAAAG